GAATCAAGGAGCAAGCATGTTTTTTGGCTTATCTATTTACATGGCATGTTTCACAACATCCAAGCAACCATTTTTTTTAACAAAGAATCGAGGAGTAAGCATGTTATCTATTTACACAGCATTTGATTATGTTTCATATAGTCTAAGCTAATATTTTAAAGAGATGTAAATAGATAGCATACTTACTTCTTGATTCTTTGTTAAAAAATATTTGCTTGGATGTTGTGATATATAATCAAACACTGTGAAACTTAAAGTTCTAGCTATTAGATATCTAAAATAGAAATAACTTCTAAAACAACGTAAAGTATTACTAGAAAACATGCTTTTCGTTTTTATCGCTAGTTTAGTGTTGTGAAACATAACATCTTGGTTTCTTGTGAAAAAAAGATTAGTAAAACATAATCAAACACCGTGTAAAAAAGATTAGCAAGAACATGTTTAGGGTAGATTAAAAATCACTGAACCCAGTGATATCTTTACATCACATAATTAAACACTTGGCCTAAGTTAGGTAAGTGTTAAGGTTAGGTGATTGTATAGTTTAGGCCAATTTGTTAGCAGTTAGTGTATGATTTCACGTAATGTGGGTTCAGTGTCCTCATGTTTACTTTGTTTGTGAACAAATTAATGCTGACCAAAATTAATTCTAAAGCTTATCAATTTTAATTCTAGTAAGAATCCAATTTGTGGTTTATCATTGGTTAATTTTTTGTCGATCATCACATGACCTGTAAAAATGTGGTCACCCTAGTAGATTCAATAGGTTCAGTGTCTCCATGTTTAATGCTGACCAAAATTAATTCTAAAGCTTACCCACTTTAATTCTGGTAAGAATTAATCTTAAAGCTGGTTCACTTTGGTTAAAATTAACTATTAATAGTGTTTGTTTCAAATGTTTAATTTTATATATAATTTTTATATATAAAGTTTGGCCTAGCATTATCACCAAACATTTGGTTTTAAAAATTACATAATATCATATATTTAAAAACTACTAATTAACAAGTAGAGTATTCTGCACTAGTCGATAATAAATAAATTTCTTGAAAAATTATTAATTTTTATTGTTACAATTAATTCACCTTAACACAATTTTTACATTAGTCATATTATAATGTTACCATAGTATCTATAAAAAGTGTTGGGTATGAACATATTAATTCTTAATTGAATAAAAATGCATAATAACAGCTAATAAAATATAAAATCGATTAAATTTTTAACAGTACCACAAATCTAAAATATTAAATAACAATTAATATATACTTAAATTAAATAAACAAAAAAGTTTGCTTACCTATCATTTTGCTGCATTTATCCAAAAAATAATTTTTAAGGTCTTCAAATTCATCTTTATCTACTGACTGTAGATAATTAATAGTCATATTCAGTTCTCTTAGCATTTTGTGATACAACTCAAAAGGAATTTTTAATTTATCACTACTAACTACTAAAGATAAAAGTAAATCATAAACCTTTTTCTAATGTATTTTTTTCGAATTATGTTCTTCAGGAATAGATTCTTTTAAAATATTAATAATAGCCTTATTTCTTTTACTTTCAAATATATATGTTTTACTCTTCTCTTGTATATATATAGTATACGTTTGTTGAAGTCTACTAGATAAGTCAATCCATTCCAGATCAGTCTTTGTTTGTTCTTTACTTTTCATCATTTGCTCATAATATTCCTTCCGTGTTTGCGAAATATATGGTATATTAGATGGTATAACTGGAGAAATTGAAGGTCAAATCAGTTTTTTCTGTGCAACACCATTTATTTGATCTTTATAGAGATTTGTAGCTGTGATAGTGCTTCTTTTTTTTTGTTGTTGTTTGTAGTGTTTTCTTGATCTTTGTTATTTAATAAAACTATATCTTGCATTTTTACCTCATCGCCGTCCATTACTTAAATAAAATGACTTAATTAATTAACCAAAAACTCAAATTATTTCCGAATTATGATAATTTTACTTACTTTTGGCAAAGTATGCTCTGTAAGCATCAAAATTTTTTTCAAAAAAACGAAGATTATAGATATTGCTTACAAAGGTAAATATAAATAGCTTAATTAGAGAAAAAAAACCGTTTAAATAGGTTAAATTTATGCTGTATAACCTTGTATAACTAAATATCATATGACCTACAATTCGAATTGAATTACTTTACCAAAAGTTCTGAAGAAATCCCATTTATTTATTATTAAAATTTCGGCCAGCTAAATAATTAATAAACGTTCATTGATATATTCTCAAAAA